GCAACATAACATTTTGGGGAACTAAAAAGGATTTCTTTCCACATGTCTTTTGTTTCCTTCAAAATACACACTTCAGTTACCTTAAACTTTCAAATAGTCACCATGCTTGTAAGGAAAAGGCTGTGACCATCAGGAGAGGCTTGTGGTGTGGGGAAAGCAGCAGCTCTGGGCAGGAGGGGAAGTAAAGCTGTTTAAAGAGGCAGTCGTGTGTGGGTGTGGGGGTTACCACCAGAACTCAAGCTCTGGCCTCATTGCCTGTGGGAGAACTACACCTCTCTTCAGGAATGGCTGCTGGGATATCCATCCCAGAGGCCGCCAAGTATCGAGTGCCAGGCCTAAGACTCTGAGTGCAGCCTCAAAAGAAACATGGAGGTGACGTCTGTCCTGGCCTGTCTCCTGAGGGAGTGCTGTCTAAACAGTTTCAGTTCAGCTGTCACAGCAGGAACCTCTATTAGACTTCCCCTCCCCGGCCCCCATTCTTAGCATAAAACCCAGGCACCTTCTGTGTGTGTGTGAGTTCTGCCTCATGCTGGCCGAACTGCTCCTGGTATTGGCTGTACATTCTGGCCACACATTTTCTCCTTGGAGCTTGCCCTCCTCAGGGTCTTTGTACCTGCCCTCCTCACACTATCCCCAACACTGCTTAGCTCTTCTCCCAGCCACATCAGTTTCCTTACTCCAGTTCAGATGTCATCTCGTGGGAGGTGCTTACACCGTGGACCCTCATTAAAGTAGCCGTTACCCTACAGACCCACTACATGGAAACTGTACTGTCTGAAACCATCACCAGCTGTCACTCCATACATATGACAGGTGTCAAGTGACATTTTTCCTGCTTTCTGGGAATTACTGCTGAGACCCAGACCTGAGGGCCCGAAAACCGAGTGCCTCCCATTCCAGACACGTGGAGCTGAAGGAGAGGGAGCCAGCCAAAGGTGCTACTGGAGAACCAGCTCTTCTCTGTTGAGAACTTGAGGGTGCAGAAAGGGACTCTGAGACAATGCAGTGCAGTGTCTGTGATGACAAATGCCAACCCCCAGCCCTGGGGGAAAGTAGCTTCTCAAGAGCACTGTTAACAGTGGCAGTGCCTGTGCAGGGTCTGTGCTACTGTGTGTGCCGCGTCACTCTAATGTCACCCCACCCAGCAAGCCCAGAGGCAGTACTCAACTCAAAGGTGTTACTGAGAGCCAGTGTCTCTAAGGGTGAGTGTTAGTCATGATTGCAGTTGTCCACAAAACCGCTGCCGTGTGGAGATGTGAGGCCTGGCCCAAGAAGCTAAATCTAGGCCTCGAAGACAAGCCTGCTTGATTTCTTAGTTGGCCTCATTTGCACCTGCTTCCCCTCTCTCCCCTGACCACACCACACAAAATCTGAGGAGTGTGGCTTGTAAGTCTGTGTGACAGCACAGATAGACGAACAGCGCGTCATGTCAGGTTAGCTAGAAAGCCTCATCCCCTTGGGCCTGGGTTAGCTCACTGAGGGCAATGGGCACTTAGCATTCAAGATAGCTGAGGTTGGATCTTAGCATTAAAAAGAAAAAGTAAAAAGAGCCCCACGAGGTAACTTTCCTGTAATCCCCCCAACACCCCCCCCCCCACACACACACACACACACACGCACAAGGAGAAGTTCAAGGTCATCTTCGGCTAAGTAGACAGTTCCAGGCCAGCTTAGTTTATGTGAGAACCTATCTCAAAAATGGAAGAATGAGTGTGCGGTGGTGCTCATTTGAAGCTCAGTACGCTGGAGGCAGAGGCAGGCAGATCTCTGAGTGTGAAGCCAGCTCGGCTTACATAGTGAGTTCAGGCCCACCAGGGTTACATGTAGAGGCCCTGTCTCAAAGCACCAAAAAACCCAAAATTTAATTCTCCAAAGTGTGGGTATAAAAGCCCGGTTTATTTTATGTTTTTGATGAATTTCCTGCCTTCCTCACTTCTCCATTTTAATGAGCAATCTATAAAAAAAATGTGACTCAGTTGTAATGCGTGTGTAAATGTAAGGAAAGGTTTTGCAGGCCATTTACCACAACAGCAGTGGTAGCTAGCTCTTAGTTGACGGACCTGGGACTAGAGTGCTGGTCTAAGCAGTGCTCTCAAGGTTTGCTCTGTAATCTGGTCTTCTCTGACCTTTGTGATTATTCATCCTTTTTTATTGCTTTCCAGAGACAGGGTCTTTCTGTCTGGCCCTGGCTGTCCTAGTACTGACTGTAGGCCAGGCTGGCCTGGAACTGAGAGATCCGTGTGCCTCTGTCCCTCGTGCCCTCGTGCTGGGATTAACAGCTGTGCCACTGCCACCCTGTTGTGTCCTTTTTTTTTTTTTTAATTGATGTAGTTTTGACTTTATTTTATGAGTGTTCTGCCTGTGTGTTTATCTGTGCATCACCTGAGTGCTTATGGCCTCATCTCCCCGTATCTACAGCATGATGTGGGAATCAAACTCCAAGTCCTCCAGAAGGGCAGCCAGTGCTCCAAACCTCTGAGCCATCCAGCCAGCCCAATTATGCAGTCTGTTATCACATGATAAAAGCACTCTGAACCCATCTTTAATGATTTTTAAGTTTTATTTTATGTGATCTGTATGAGTGTTTTGCCTGCATGTATACATGTGCACCACATGTATGCCTCTTGCCCTAAGGAGTCAGAAGAGGGTGTCAGGCCTATATTATAGATGACTGGAGAACGCTTCATGTACTTAGCTCCAGTAACATCCTGGGTCCCTTTGAGAGGGATATGAGGAGAGATCGTTGGGTGTCATTGCCTCAGTGTCCCTCTGGTTCCAGCACATTCCTGAACCTCTTGCTACAGCTGTCTGTTTCCTCCTGAAGAAGCTCCTTGAGCAGTTCCCTCTGTACCTCCATGACTTCCGCAGGTCTCAGTTTAGTGTTCAACTGGAGCAGGCTGGCCCGTTCTGCTGAACTCCCGTTCTATCTATAAATGTTTTTATCCTGCTCAGAGGGAGCAGGTCCTGGTCACCCAGACAGAGTGGGCCTGTGGTGGCTCTGTAGGTTTTTAGCCCCAGAACCAAACTCTAACGATGACTCAGATGTAGGAAATTGTGCAGTGTGGGCATGGCTGAGGAGAGATAAGCAAGTGGGCCTGCTGATTTCAGAGCACTTCAGAGGGATCCCACACCTGCCCCCTCCTGCTCTACGAAAGGCTTTCCCACTGAGACACACAATGAAAATCAGTTTAATATGATTATAATGCTTGCATCAATTTTGGGTTTTGTTTGTAGTGCCAGATATTAAACTCAAGGCTTCAGTCATGGCTAAGTACTATAGCACTTAGCTACACCCTCAGCCCCAGAAAACGTTGTTTTAATTAGGGCTTTATATGAAAAAGCCCCTGTAAAGACTTATCAGTGGGAGCTGAAGAGATGGCTTAGCAATTAAGAGCACTTGCTGGTCTTGCAGAAGATGTGGCTTCTTTCCCAGTACCCCACATGATTGCTCAAGGCTGGCTGTAATTCTAGTTCCAGGGGATCCAATGTCTTTTTCTGGCCTCCATTGGCACTACACAATTGTGATCTTTCAAACATGCAGGTGAACTATGTAGACCAGACTGGCCTTGAACTCACAGAAATCCACCTGCCTCTGCCTCTCAAATGCTGAGATTAAAGGCATGAACTACTCACTTGGCCTTTTTTTTTTTTTTTTTTTTTTTTTTGGTTTTTCGAGACAGGGTTTCTCTGTATAGCCCTGGCTGTCCTGGAACTCACTCTGTAGACCAGGCTGGCCTCGAACTCAGAAATCCACCTGCCTCTGCCTCCCAAGTGCTGGGATTAAAGGCGTGCGCCACCACCGCCCAGCATCACTTGGCCTTTTTTAAGTGGAAGGAAATTCTGTACCAGAGTATGGTGGTACACAGCTATAATTTCACAACTCTGGAGGATATGGCAAGATGATCACAGCTTTAAAGCCAGAATATGCTGCAGAGTAAGACTGTCATTTAACAAAAACAAAAAAGGCAGGGGCAGGAGAGATGGGTCAGTGTTTAGAGCATTGGCTGCTTCTGGAGAGGAACCAGGTAATTAAAAAAAGAAGGCAGAGAGGTCATGCTAGGGCTAGGGGAGATGAGGGAGATGGAGCAGTTCTGGAGGCCCTGGCAATGGTACAGGAATATGAAGGCACCCGACACCACTGAAGCATCCTTTTGTTTGTTTGTTTGTTTGTTTGTTTGTATTCTATGTGCATCTTTTGACTGCATATCTGTCTGTGCACCACTTATGTGCCTAGTGCATATGGAGGCTAGAGGTGGGGATTGGATCCCCTGGAACTGGAGTTACAGATGGTTTTGAACCACCATGTGGGTGCTGGACATCGAACCAAGGTCCTCTAGAAGAGCAGCCAATGCTTTTAACCACTGAGATATCACTCCAGCCCTGAAGCGCCTTAAAATGTGGTTAAAATGGAGGTCGAGGAGATGGCACATTGGATAAGGCGCTTCCTGTGCAGCATGAGGACTGAGTTCAGATCACCAGAACCCCTATAAAGCTGGACTTAGGAGCATGCCTATGCAGTGCCAGCCCTAATGCAGCAGTATGTGGGTTGGCTGGAGACAGGAGAATTCCTTAAGCTCACAGGTAGCTAGCCTGGTGTGTGCAATAGTGAATAAGAGACCCTGTCTCAACGGAGGTGGGAGGCAGGGACCAATACTCAAATTTGTCTTCTGATCTCCCAACAAGTATGCTCTGAGACACACACCCTCACACACAGATATTTTAAAATGGTGTTTAGTATATTTTTTACCAAACAGAGGAGAAGAGTAAAATCAAAGTGTTTTCTTAGATAGTCTTACACAAATAGGATTTACATCACAATTCTTCTGTGGGTGTGGTGTTACATGCCTCAAGTCCCAGCACTCTGGAGGCAGAACTTGCGGACAGCCTGGTCTACAAAATGAGTTCCAGGACAGCCAGGGCTACACAGAGAAACCCTGTCTTAATAAAAAAATAAAACTATTTTAACTCAGTAGCATTTTCTTTTTCTGTTTATTTTCTAGTTGAATTTTCTAGATGCAAGAGAAATCAGAACGGTGTGGATATTTACGAGAACTCACTGAAGCGGACCCCTGTGGCATTGTTGGACAGTTCTACCGTCCAGATCACAAAGGTCAGCCCTTGTATGTGGGTGAGTACTGGACTTGTGTGCTCAGGACAGCAGCCTTTGGTGGAACCTTCAGAACCCAAGTCAGTGGGCTGTCAGGGCTGACTGTGCATGGCCTCTTAGTCATTCTCACCCTGCCTTCCCTCCACTGCCCTCCACTCTTCTTTTCTCCCCTCTCTCCTCTCTGTTTTGTCTGCTTGCCGGAAGCCAAACCTAAGGCCTCGTGTGTACTAGACAGGTGCTCTACAGCTGAGCTCCATCCCTGCCCTTGGGTTTTTTTAATCTTATGTATAGGAGTGTTTTACTTGAACATATTATATTTGTACCACATATATGCCTTTTTAAAGATTTATTTTGATAATAATTTTCTTATTTTTTAAAATTATAATGTAATTACATCATTTCCCCCTTCCTTTCTTCCTTTTCCTCCCTCCAAGCCTTCTCATGTAATCCCCCCTTGCCCTCTCAACTTCATGGTCTCATTTTTTTTTTTTCAATTGCTGTTACACACACTCTTAAATATATAGATATAACCTGCTCGGTCCATACAGTGTCACTTGTATGTACATGATTTCAGGACTGACCACTTGGTATTGGATAACCGACTGGAGGGCTCTTCCCTGGGGAAAACTGTTTCTCCAACTTTCAGCGTTCCTTAGTTGCCTGTACTTCTTTGTCCAAGACTAAGCTTGATTTTTGTTTGTTTGTTTAGACAGGGTCTAACTATATAGTCCTCTCTGGCTAAGAATTCACTGTAGTAAACCAGGGTGGGCCTTAAACTCACAAGGCATGCAACACTATGCCCTGCAAGATTTCTGTCTGTCTGTCTGTCTGTCTAGCTAGCTAATTTGATTTTTGAGACAGTGTTCCTCTGTGTAACAGAACTGACAGTCCTGAAACTCCCTCTGTAGACCAGGCTGGCCTCAAACTCAGACATCTGCCTGTCTCTGCCTCCCAAGTGCTGGGATTAAAGATGTGTACCACTATGCCTGGTTGTTTTTAATTTTTTAATGTATTTTATTTTATATGTAAGGGTATTTTGGTCTGCATGTACATATGTGTACCATTTGTTTGCCTGGTGCCCAAAGAGGTCAGAAGAGGGCATCCGATCCCCTGCATCTGAGTTACAGGCTGTTGTGAGTCTCCTGGCTTGAAACTGAACTCCTGATCCTCTACAAAAGCAGTCCATGCTCTTAACTGCTGGACTATCCACAGCCTATCTATCTGTTGTTGGGGTAGGGTCTCACTATGTAACTCAGTCTTGGATTTCCTGTGTAGCCCAGGAAGGGGTTGAATTCATGCTCTTTGTGATTCCCCTTCTCTAGAGTTCTGGTATTTCAAGCATGTGGACTACACCCTGCTCACCTGCTTCTCCTGTGTCTGGATCACAGCGGCTGCCGTGTAGTGAGATAGTACCATCTCCCCAAGACTCCTGGCTGTAGTTTAATTGGAGCAGTTCTGGAGTTTAATTGTCTGGTTTTGAAATTGCAGCACCTTCTACTTGTCCCTCTACATGATTACTAGAGAATTCCACCCCAGGCTCTATTTCTTATCCGACCAGTGGCTTCCGCTGGAATCACCTGTCTGGAGCTTAGCTTTTAAGCTGGCGGTCAGATGAAGATAGAACTGTTTTAGAACTTCTTCCTCGGGACTGGGACGTGGCACAGTGGTACAGTATCCATCCAGCACAGCGAGCAAAACACAAGAGTATCCTCAGATCAGAGCCTGACTGACAGACAGGCTGAGAGCAAGCACTGTCCAGCAGGCCCCTCTTGTCCTTTGTCCCTTTTTAGATAGCCCCTAGGCTATGGTAGCCTAAGTGGATTTTCCCAAGTAGAAAGCTGTTTGTTGCAAAATTAGAGATTTTTTTTCTTTTCTTTTTTTGTTTTGTTTTTGTTTTTTGTTTTGTTTTTGTTTTTTTCGAGACAGGGTTTCTCTGTGCAGTCCTGGCTGTCCTGGAACTCACTCTGTAGACCAGGCTAGCCTCGAACTCAGAAATCCGCCTGCCTCTGCCTCCCAAGTGCTGGGATTAAAGGAGTGCACCACCACCGCCCGGCAGTTTTTTTCTTTTCTTTTCTTCTCTTTTCTTTTTTTTTCTTTTCTTCTTTTTTTGTTTTTTGTTTTCTTTTAAGTCTTTTAAAAGACTATTGTACTTATATTTTTTAAAGATGGACTAGAAAGGGCTCAGTGCTTAAGAGCACTGATTGCTTTTCCAGAGGACTTGGGTTTGATTCTCAGCATCATATGGTGGTTCACAACTGTAACTCCAGTCCCAGGAGATCTGATACCCTCTTTTGGCTTCCTTGGGTACCAGGCATGCAATGGTGCACAGATATACCTGCAGGTAAGACACTCATACAGGTAAATAAAATTAATTTAAAATGTTTTTTAAAAAGATTTATCATCAGGCATGGTGGCACATGACTTTGATCCCAGTACTCAGGAGACAGGCAGGCAGATCTCTATGAGTTCCAGGCCAACCTGGTTTACAAAAAGAGTTCCAGGACAGCCCAGGTTACACAAAGAGATCCTGTCTTGAAAAAAAATAAGATTTATCGCATGATTTTATGTATGAGTATTTGTCTGCATTGCATCTGTGCAGTGCATAGAGAATGTGGGATCCCTCGGAACTGGAGCTAGAGTTTTAAACTGCCTGAACAGGTTGCTGGGAGTTGGACTCAGGTCCTCTGGAAGAGCAGTAAGCACTCTTAAGCATCCAGCATCTCTCTGGCCCATGGACTCAGGCTTTCAAAGCATTTCAGGGAACCTGTCCTCAGCTTCTCATTGCTTGGACCATGTGGCCTATCTGGAAACAGATGAACTCTGTGAAAAGAAGTTGTTCTCCAAAGTTAGTGACCACTTCTCAGAGCAATTATTTATCTTCCTAGTCCTTTTTAGTAAAATGAAAACAAAACAAGTCCTTTAAAATGTGGACTTTCAATCCATTCACTAATATTGTTTTTAATCCTACAGGGTGTGTGGGATGACAGACTGGTTAACAGAAAACACCCGAAGCTGAAGCCGGGGCTGCAAGATTTAGCTGCTCTTTGTTTCCTTCCTGGCAGCCTGAGACCTGCCTCCTAGGCACAGTGGGCGCCATGGACTCCCTAGGGTACAATTGCTTTGTGGATAAGGACAAGATGGATGCATCCATCCAGGACCTGGGGCCGAAGGAGCTGAACTGTACTGAGCTACAGGAGCTGAAGCAGTTGGCACGGCAGGGCTACTGGGCTCAGAGCCACACCCTGCGGGGGAAAGTGTACCAGCGCCTGATCCGGGACATCCCCTGCCGCACAGTCACACCTGATGCCAGTGTTTACAGTGATATTGTGGGGAAGATTGTGGGCAAGCACAGCAGCAGTAGCCTGCCCTTGCCTGAGTTTGTAGACAACACCCAGGTGCCCACCTACTGCCTGAACACACGGGGTGAAGGGGCTGTGCGCAAGATCCTCCTGTGTATTGCCAACCAGTTCCCCGACATCTCCTTCTGCCCTGCCCTGCCTGCAGTGGTGGCCTTGCTACTGCACTACAGCATTGACGAAGCTGAGTGTTTTGAAAAAGCCTGCCGCATCTTATCCTGCAATGACCCCAGCAAGAAGCTCATTGACCAGAGTTTCCTGGCCTTTGAGTCTTCATGTATGACATTTGGGGACCTGGTGAACAAGTACTGCCAGGCAGCCCACAAACTGATGGTAGCTGTGTCAGAGGACGTCCTGCAGGTCTACTCTGACTGGCAGCGATGGCTCTTTGGGGAGCTGCCCCTTAACTACTTCGCCCGTGTTTTTGATGTCTTCCTTGTAGAAGGCTACAAAGTATTGTACCGAGTTGCTCTGGCCATCCTCAAGTTCTTCCACAAGGTCAGAGCAGGACAGCCCCTGGAATCAGACAATGTAAAGCAAGACATCCGGATGTTTGTCAAGGACATTGCCAAGACAGTGTCCCCTGAGAAACTACTAGAGAAGGCCTTTGCCATCCGCCTGTTTTCCCGCAAGGAGATCCAGCTCTTGCAAATGGCCAATGAGAAAGCACTGAGGCAGAAGGGTATTACTGTCAAACAGAAGAGGTAGGCAGACCCCAGGATCGTGTGCATGTGTGCCCATGCTTCTGTTTGTGTGTGTGTGTGTGTGTGTGTGTGTGTATACACGTGCGTGCGCGCACGCCTGTGCTGTGAACATATTGCACCTATGGAGTGGGAAGCTTTAGTGGGAGGCATCCTTGAGGTCTGAGCATGAGTCTGCTTCTGGCCTTCTGTCTGTCCACCTGTCCACATGTGAATACAAAGACATTAGAAAGCAGGAAGGGCTTTGCAGTTATGGCCTTAACAAGACAAGGAAGCTGGATGTTACCAGGGCGTCAGAAGGTCCAGCAATTGCCAGGCTGGCCTCCTAGAGGTCACATCAGAAAAGCCCCTGCTCTGCCCTTCCAGCTCCAAGTTTCATGGCTGGCATTCTTCTGAATGCTGATTGTGGTCTCCCTGTCCCTGGAAGCAGGGTTGGGAATAGTCATGGTATTTGATACCTCACACTGTAGGCTGCTGTAGACATGGCTGGCTGCTGGTATGGAGGTCACTTTCTCCTGGGCCCAAAGGAAGGCATATATGGGGATTAGTACCCACCACTAACGTCGCCTTGTCTGTTTTATTTTTCTTCTTCTCCGTGTCCGTTGCTTCCTCCTGTTTCTCAGTGTCTCACTTTCTAAAAGGTAGGTCTAAAACTGCACCTTGATGCTTGCCTTCTCTGTCCTGCCTTCTTCCAGCTCTGGTGCTACTGCTTGGTATCTCCCAAGGACCTGTGGCTCTTGTGGGCTGCCTTCTGCTTGCTGCTTTAGCCTATTGACGCAGGCTCTGTCTGTCTGTCTGTCTGTCTGTCTGTCCATCTTTCTGCTGGTGCTTGGCTGGCTCTGCAGCCTTGTCTTGCTGAGGCTTACTTCATTTGTCCTGGTTTCTTAAAGAAAAACGCTCTTGTCCTTACACCTGCAGGCTGGGTGCTCTCCCATGTGACAGGTGGGAGGTGGGACTTCTAGGAATAATTTCACCCCATTTCCAGCTGGCCCCCAGAGCCAGGCTGCAAACCTGGCTGGGTAGGTGAGATACCCTTTTCAGGCTGTGTACCAAAATGAAGCCGCTGGGGCCCAGGGGAGGGCGCGGTCAGGACTGTGCTCACTGTGGGCTCTGACCCCTCCTTGCTTTTCCCAGGCAGTTTGTACACTTGGCTGTCCACGCAGAGAACTTCCACTCCGAGATTGTCAGTGTGAAGGAGATGAGAGACATCTGGTCCTGGATCCCCGAGCGCTTTGCCCTCTGCCAACCCCTCCTGCTCTTCTCATCACTGCAGCATGGGTACAGCCTAACCAGGTGAGGGGCCGCTAACACCTTGTGAGTCACATCCTGCACCCCACTTCCAGGAAGTCATAGGGTAGCTGGAAATGAGCCTTTGAACCTGGGACCCTAGTAAGGTCCTGGCTCTCCGTCATTTCCAGGTCATGTAGACTTTGGAAGTCATTGCTGTATGTACCGCAGCTGAGGGCCCTGTGTAGGCATCATGAAGAAACAAATGTCAACGTTCCTGTCTCAGGAGCTCAGAATTGTTAGGGGGAAGTTACTCAGGCAGTTGGCCCTGACTCCCTGCTGTCCTCATCCACCATGTCCATCACAAGCCTGAACCAGGTACCCCTTTGTGGGGCTCTGGCTGTGTAAGCCCCTGGCATTCTAACCGGGGCACACTGCCCTCCAAGCCAGCTTGGTCAGGTCCAGGTAGTATTCAAGTCTCAAATGACAGTTCACAAACTCTTGACCACCCTACCCCAACCTGAAGACTACAATCACACAAGCAGTTTGGCTTGGTTGAACTCCTTTTCCCAGCCCCTGGGGTGCCTCAGTAGCACAGTGGCAAGCCTCACCTTCCTCCCACATCCAGGGCTAAGCTTTCCTGCTCTGCTTTCTGCTTCCAGCACTCAGCTTTGCCTGAGGGGATATACTGTGACTCTTCTCCCTTGTCACAGCAGGGCAGCCTGGCCTGGGTGCAGAGTCCTTGGCCACTGTGGACAGAGTTGGCTGGAAAGGAGTATAGCTCCCAGGCCTCTCTACCCTAGACCTTGAGACTGACGGTTGGGAGGGTGAGGGAGGACATGCAGGGTAGGTAGCACATGTGCTCTCTGCCCCCAGGTTCTATTTCCAGTGTGAAGGACATGAGCCCACCCTCCTGCTCATCAAGACCACTCAAAAGGAGGTGAGGAGCCTGGCTCAATAAGTTGGTGCCAAGTCCCGAAAGCCACAGGGGAAGACACAAGTGACCAGAGGCTCGCCTCCCTGAGCTCCACCCTCTCCCACACTGGTTTTGCCCTCAGTGGTGGAAGAATGCAGGATACCAGGGTCCTAAGCTGAGACTTGGTCACTCAGCACCAGAACAAGAGGGTGCTCCTGAGGGCAGAAGGCACAGTCTCACCCAGTTCCCTCCTCAGGTTTGTGGGGCTTACCTGTCAACAGACTGGAGCGAGAGAAATAAGTTCGGAGGCAAGCTGGGCTTCTTTGGGACTGGAGAATGCTTTGTTTTTAGGGTGAGTTGGACTGAATGTGGGGTCCCTCTGGCCACTCCCTCATGCCCTGACTGTCCCCATTTTTTCAGATATTCTAAGCATTTCAGTCTTCCCTCCAAAACTGAATGCAGGCCCAGTATCTGCAGTGGGCCAGGGTATTGTCTGACCCCGGGCTGTCACAGAGGCTGGCAGAAGCCACCAGGCCATGTACCTGGGCAGCCCTGCATAAGAGCCTAGTTTCATTTCCACTGTTCACTGTAGCAAATATACTAAAGCATTCTGTTGTTTACTCTGGGTTTCGCTGGTCAGACCGTGAGAACCCTAAGAGCTAGCAGGGCCTCATCAGCAATGTGCGTACCATTGCCACAGTCCCCACTCAGGGACCCACTCACAAGAGTCATGGGATGGAGATGGGCTGTACTTTTGGAGCACATGCGGTAGCCCAGTGAGGTGTCAGATGGCAGTAACTGTGACTGTCACCCATTCATCCCCAGCTGCAGCCGGAGGTGCAGCGCTATGAGTGGGTGGTCATCAAACACCCAGAGCTGACCAAGGCAGCATCCTTCAAGTCCTCAGAGGCTGCGGCCAGTCCTTCCCTCATCAGCCACAGCTCTTCAGACCCTGCGGATCGGCTCTCCCCTTTCCTGGCTGCCCGGCACTTCAACCTGCCCTCCAAGACTGAGTCCATGTTCATGGCTGGGGGCAATGACTGCCTCATCATTGGTGGGCACCCATTCCCTTCACCCTAGACTGGGTCCTGCCTGTACTTGGAAGGGACTTGTGGGTAGCTGAAGCCCCTGTGCCCAGTCATTGTTGACGGGTAGTGGTAGGCATCTAAGTCAAGCAAAGGAAAAGGACCTGGGTTGTTTGGGGTGGAGATAGGGACTATGGGCTAGCAAGCTAGCATTAGGCGGGGAGCCAGGCCCGGGTAAGCCTGTGCTTCCAGAGGAGCCGCTGCAGTCCAACGGATCTCTTCACTGAGATTTCTTCTTAGCAGACCCTTCAAGGACAGAAACAATGGGGTCTCTAGGGAATGGTGGTTGTTGGAGCAGAAAGACATCTATCTGCACGTCCCACAGGGGGAGGAGGTGGCCAAGCACTCTACGTTGATGGGGATCTGAACCGAGGGCGCACTGGACACTGCGACACTTTCAACAACCAGCCCCTCTGCTCGGAGAACTTCCTCATCGCTGCTGTGGAGGCCTGGGGCTTCCAAGACCCTGATACCCAGTGACGGGCCTGCGTTGATGGTGACTGAGCCACATTGTGGGGTGATGGGCAGAAGCCCAGCTGCCTTTTCAGGGAGCAGGGAGTGAGTGAGACACCAGCCCCAGGAAGTGGAAAGGTTTGCTGTGTAGTGGGGATGTCACAGTTTCCCAAGTCAGGCCTGGCCCCGCTTGGACCAGTTGCCCTCTACTTTAGACTTAGGTTAGAATCCCTGAGCCCTCCTGCTTCTGAGCTCAAGGGCTGCTAAGCCCTCAGCCCTGTCTAGCATCTGTGTAAGAGACACCCACTGCCCTCACCCAGGGCCCTGGCTCTGCCAGATATCCTGTACCCACAATTAAGCTACATTTCCTTGCCCCTGAGCCTCATAAGGAAAGGACAAAGGAATCTTCTTGCCAAATGTGGGCCTGTGGTGCCCCCTGCTGGTGCTTTGACCCTGCAGCTCCTCAGACCTCTGACCAGCTGAGGTTCCCCTGGGCTACATTTGCTGCTGCTATAGGATAGGATTGGGGGGGGGCAGGATTTGTGAGTTCTACAGCTCCCTCTATTCTAGACAGGATGAGGGCTGGACAACTGTCTCTTGTCTTTGTGTTTCTGCAGAGCCTGAAGCTCTTGCTGCGCCTCACTGCGACTCCACACCTGAAGGTGGCCTCTGGAGAGACTTTCTTTGACCAACTTGCCAGTCAGTTCCATTTCCAGGGTTCTTCTCAGAGCCAACTAGACTCAGTGAGGCCTTTGCCTCTTGTCCCTGTGGCCTCCTTGAAGTTCTGTGGTCTTGGTGACTCTTGTGCTTCCTTTCCCTTGTCACAGTGACTGAGGCCCACCTAGCATGGCATGCTTGTCCCTGTCCAGCGTTCTGCCTTCTCCCCAGGCCCTGTGCTCCCCTGGACCTGCTCACACAGTGTCTGACACACTGTGTGACCTGATCCCTCAGCTCGCACTATGGCTGACCATGTACCATATCTTCTGTGAGCTACGCATTAAGGCCTTCAGGTCTGGATGTCTGTGCTTCCTGAGCCCTGTCCTAGCCTGAGACACAGTAGATGCAAGGGAGGCACTGCCTCTGAGGACCATAGCAAGCGCCATTTCCCCATGACCTCCCTCGCACCCTGTGACCTCCCTCAGCTGGTCCTGAGGGTCTAGGCACCACAGAGAAAGAGAGAAGAAACAGTGGCCCAAATGGGTGTGCTGGGACCATAGAAGTCTGGATCATAAGGACAGGCGCCTAGTTCCCACATGACTGTCCTGTGTGCCTGAGAGTCAGCATGTGTCAGGCCAGCGCTCATTTCCACGCTGAGACTCACTTCTGCCGGGGAAGGTTCATTCTTCCCTGTTCCATTGACCCACATCCGCTCTCGGCAGGGCCACAGCAGCAGAGGAAGCAGGGCGGGAAGGAGCTTCATGTAACCTGGGCTACCTGGTAAACGCACCTAGAACTTTGGACTCTGCACAGTGGACCTGTACCCCCACTATGCTGGCTTCCAGGATGGCTGGCATGACTCTATAGAGGGAAGAGGAACCGCTGTTGCTCACCTTCACACAAGGTTGTAAGCCTTGACACCCATGTCCCTGAGCCCACTGCCCAGACCTATACCTTCAACTCTGGTGTGCATTTAACACCATCTTGATCTTTGGTCATTGTTGTTTCTGGCAAGATCTTACTAGGTAGCCTAACTGGCCTGGAACTCCCTATGTGGCCCAGGCTAGCCTGGAAATTGCTATGTAGCCTAGGTTGGCCTCAAAAATCATGGTCTCCCTCAGCCTCCTAAGTGCTGGGCTTCTAGGTGTTAGGCCCAGCTCAGTACTTTGCTGTTGCACTGACTATGGGTTCTGAGTTGGGCTCCAGCCAGAAGGCCCCCAGGACGTTCCCAGGCTGTGCCGTTCCCAGGCTGTGCCGTTCCCAGGCTGTGCCGTCATGCTGCTCACCCATGCATTCCCACTGAGACTCAGAAGCCTTTCAGAAGCAATGAAGTTAACTGGAGTATGTGCAGGGCTCTGCAGGGCTCCTGACTGGTGGTGGATCTCTTCTGTGTGGCCCCCTGGCAATCCCAGGGGTCTAGCCCAAGGAGACTGATGATGCTTAGTTGTGATCACATCATAAGCAAAGTTCTTAGCTTTTTGTCCACAACAAACTCAGTTCTTTAAATTTAATGTCCTTTTCCCCTGACTTTTCTACCAAAAGGTGTGTATTGTTTTCTTTACATTTTTATTCTTATCACTGTTCTTATCTGATACTAAGTGTTCTCACTTAGTATTTATTTTATTAATGTTTTCTATTATTTATTAGCTTTTGATGTTAAAAAAAAACAAGCCAAAATGTGATGGCATTGTATAAGAAGTTACATTTTAGCAGCATTTAAACATTTGTTTTTAAAACAAATACTGAATCTAATTTAAGCCCATTCATTAAACTAAGAAAGTTTGTTAATATATACCATATGCCCTTGGGGCCTCCGAAAATCAGTTTATACTGTTGGTTTAGTTTGTGAGAAGAGTGTCAGTTTCATGCAGCTCAGGCTAGCCTTGAACTAACTGTAGCTGACGCTGTTCTTGAATTCATCTTCCTGCCTCTTCCTCTACACACTTGGATTGTAGGTGTGTGCCACCATGCCTGGTGACAGCTTACTTTTAAAGTAATTTATGATATAACACTAGGTGTTCGCATTTTAAGAATTTATGTATGTATATGTGTGTATATATATGTATATATATGTATATGTAATTTTTTTTGTTGTTTTTTTGGTTTTTTTTTTTGTTTTTTCGAGACAAGGTTTCTCTGTGTAGTCCTGGCTGTTATGGAACTCACTCTGTAGACCAGGCTGGCCTCGAACTCAGAAATGCGCCTGCCTCTGCCTCCCAAGTGCTGGGATTAAAGGCTTGTGCCACCACCACCCGGCGTGTTTTTGTTTTTCGAGACAGGGTTTCTCTTAGCAGTCCTGGCTGTCCTGTCACTCTGTAGACCAGGCTCACAGATGCACCTGCCTCTGCCTCCCCAGTGATGGGATTAAAGGTATTCGCCACCACCATCCAACCTAATTTCTCTATTTTAATTATTAAACTAAAATTACTATTTAATTTTTCCTATTTTTGTAAGCTGTCTTTTATTTTTCCAGTTTTTCAGAGCAGTGTGTTTTATTTAGAGCATTCTGGATTTCAGATCTTTAAATGTCTTTTACTCATTTCCTGAGTTCATAGAGGTTTTCTGGTCTCCTTAAATATTTTATATTTGACAATTTAAGGTTTGCACCCTTTTTTTATTTTTTTTGAGATTTTGAGAATTGAACCTAGGACCATATACATGCTAAGCAAGTTCTCTACCACTGAGCCAAGTCCTTACCCCTACATTTATATACTGAACTGATTTTTAGTTTACATCAGAATCACTGAGATGGAAGTTTTCATAGGCTGTCATCCACTTGTCTACTATAAACATCAAAAAACAATTGGCCTAGTGGCACACCTTGAATCCCAGAACTCAGAGGGTAGAGGTAGGTAGATCTCAGTGAGTTTGAGGGCATCCTGCTCAGTGTGACAGGTTCCAGATCAGCCAGGGCTACACAGTAAGACTTTGTCTTAAAGACAGACAGACAGACAGACACACACACACACACACACACACACACATATATGGGGGGAGGTGCAGAGAGAAGGCTCAGCAGTTAGAGCACTGGGTCTTCCAGAGGACCCACATTCAATTTTCAGTATCTATATGTTGGCTCACAACTATCTATAACTCTGTTCCTAGGGATCTTTCTTAGCCCTTTCTGGGCCTCTGTGGGCACTGTGCCAGTATAGTACACAGACACAGTCAAAACACTCATACACATAAAATAAAAATGAAGGAAAAGATAAAACCTAAATTATTGTGGTGCAGTGCCCCTGACTGGACCGCAGGCCTTGTCTTTCTGCTGGACAGGAATACATGCAGTTTTACAGAGACCTGCTCTCTTGCATCTTCAGTAAATCTAGAGAGTTGTAGATTATACTACTTGTTTTGTTTTGAAGCCACCATTGAGGTTGAAGTTCTGTAGTAACTACCTCAGAGAGAGCTGGCTCCTCCACAGCTCCCTTTAGGTTTATGTGGCAAAGTTATTATGTCAAGCATGAGTGCCAAACAGGCCTTACACTTCTTTCCCCACAGTATTTACACCAGGCCAGGAAGTATGTGAAGTGTAAAAGATTATTTTTGTTACTTGGGCCTAGTGTGTGTCTATAATCCCAGCACATGGATGGTGGAGACAAAAAGATCAAGTCATCCTTAGCTACAGAACAAGTTCAAGCTAGCTATGGCTACAAGAGACCCTGTCTCAATAAACAAACAAACAAACAAATAAGTGGAGCCTTTTATGACTTCCCTTATTACATCAATCTCTGATTGTGCTATAAGTATTAGATGCAGTGTCTCATGGTTACCCTGTTACAGACAAAATGTTGTTTACAGGCTTGGTCATTTTGTTGATCTGCATGGAAATGTGTCAATACTGTATGTAGGACTAAGGAATCAGCCCGTGGGCACATGGACAGGCTAACCTGTGACATGTCAGGAATCGACGAAACAAAAGATTTCGCTGTAGACTTTGGCATCCACTGGTGTGCCGCTTGTCTGCTCTGAGGTCGCTGCCTGGCCCTATTTTCCTGTGTGAAAAGACCAGTGTACCTCAGCTGTGCATTACACCATAGCATGGAGCATGCACTTAGGAACTTATATGCAGAACTAGGTGGCTCATAAGAGCACTGGTTGAGTGGTGCATGCCTTAGTTCCAGTATCAAGAAGCAAAGGCTGGTGGATTTCTGAGTTCGAGGCCAGCCTGGTCTACAGAGTGAGTTTCAGGACAACCAGGGCTACACAGAGAAACTGTGTCTCTGGGGATGGGGTAGGGGAGCACTGTCTGCTTGTCCAGATAATCCAGGTTTGATTTCCAACACCTAAATTGTGATTCACAACCATCAGTTACTCCAGTACCAGGGGTTCTGACACCCTCTTCTGGACTATTTGAACACTGCATGCAAGTGGTGCACAGACATACATGCAGGCAAAACAACCATTCACATAAAATAGAAATAAAGGTTAAAAAAAGTTTGTAAGCTGAAGACCGAAAGGGAAGAAGTTCCAAGCATAATTTTGCCTTTTAAATCTTGTAGTTATGGACTTTGACAAATGGCCACCAATTAGGAGTTATGGTGTACACTCATCTCTGCTCAGGAGGCTGAGGCACAAAGATTGTAAGCATGAGGCTGCTCTGACTTATCAGGGAAGTTTCAGGCTGACCTAGCTTACATAGTGAGACCTTATCTTTAAAAAAGAAACAACAGAAAACAATGTGGTCCCCAACTGACTGTGTGGAGTGTCTGGATGAGTAGCCAACATACTCATGCTTACAAAGCAAAAGTGTGGATTTGCAGCAAAATACAACTTTGTGATGTGAAAATAAGTGAGTTGGTGATGTTTTGGTTAGTGTTAATATGTCTCCTAAATAAAATTAGTGACTGTTGAAGAGGTATCTTTGTACATCTGTGCCATGAGAGTACTGGATGGAGGGTCCTAGCACCTTTCTCACAGGATATACTGTTCATCTCTTGAGAAGGAAACAGACTAAGGATCGACTGGAGCTATAGGTTGCGCCAGCCCATCATAGCTGTGACAAGGAGACTCCACAGAGGCAAGTATGTCCTCTTCTGGATTTGCACTGCCAGCCACAGTAACCTGCTTCCTGACCTTGCTTTCTGCCTTTTGGTCCTCATTGCTTGTCATTTGGAGTAAATGGAGAAGGACCACTGTCGGGAATCATCATCAGATTTCTCCAGTTGTCTCGGTTCCTGTGAAACAAAACTCAGTGTCAAAAGAAGTCAAGGCAAACCTGCATCTCTCATTCGAAAGGAGACTATTTAACTTGGACATTTGTATAACTTAATACTAACATATTTCCTAATGCCTCATATACTTTTTAAAAATGTCTTGTGTAAGCCCCAGACTTAACTTTTCTGCTTGAGACAGAGTGTCCTAGGGTACCCACACTGTCTTTCAACTCACTCTGTAGCTCAGACAGGCCTTGAACTAATAGCCCATCCAAGAAGGTGAGATTATAGGCCTATACCACCAGGCCTAGCAGAACATTGTTCCTTGAACTCTACACAAATGCCAACTACCCTGCCTAGTTCCTCCCTGTGAAGCTGGTGGGCTCTGTTCCTGCCCTGTACCTGCAGCTCCTCTGGGATCCTTCTTGCTTCTCCATGAAACAGTGGCAGCCAGCTTCTCTAGTTCTCTTCCCCAGATTGGCAGCAAAAGTAAATATGGCCTGTGATCTGCTCCTTTGCTGTCTCTTAGTTCAAGGGCTTTCCTGCTGTGTTGCAGGTTACTTTAGAAGATGCTGGTTGTCTGCTAGGCCAGCAGGGACTTGACCCCAGGACTATGCCAGCATAGCTACAGTAAGCTCTGGTTTTCTGCAGTTCTTCACATGAATCCAGAACCAGTTTCTGGGCTTTTGCTACTGCTCAAGCCCTTTCCTAGAAGACTGGGGTCTGTTGTAGCTCCTAAAACACTCTGCTGCTTTCCTGCCATCCACCTTCTGACTGTCCACCCTCGGAGGCAGGAGTGCTGAACACTGCAGAATTAACAGCTGCTGCACTGCTCGT